AGCTATCAGTGGCTCTCCAAGTTCAGGGACTTATGTAAACTTAGATATATATTTAGACTGTTTTTCTGCTATCGATCTTCATCAGTTAACTTAAATAATTTCTTCATCGAAGCCATCAACCTGTCTGTTAGACCCGATCCCAACTAGGCTGCTTAAAGAAGTTGTTCCCTTAATTGGCACTTCTTTACTGGATATGATTAATCTTTCTTTATTATCAGGATATGTACCACAGTCCTTTAAAGTAGCTGTAATTAAACTCCTTCTTAAAAAGCCCACTCTTGACCCAGGGGTTTTAGCTAACTATAGACCAATCTCTAACCTGCCCTTCCTCTTTAAGATTCTGGAGAAGGTAGTCGCCAAAGAGTTGTGTGACTTTCTACATAACAATAGTTTATTTGAGGATTTTCAGTTAGGATTTAGAGTTCATCATAGCACAGAGACAGCTCTGGTTAAAGTTAATAATGACCTTCTGATTGCTTCTGACAATGGACTTGTCTCTGTACTTGTATTATTAGATCTTAGTGCTGCATTTGACACCATTGACCATAATATTCTTTTACAGAGACTTGAGCATCAAATTGGCATTAAAGGAACCGCACTAAGCTGGTTTAAGTCATATTTATCAGATTGTTCGCAATTTGTACATGTTAACGATGATTCTTCAATAAATACTACAGTTAGTCATGGAGTTCCACAAGGTTCTGTACTTGGACCAATACAATTTACTATATATATGCTCCCTTTAGGCAACATTATTAGGAATCACTCCATTAACTTTCACTGTTATGCAGATGATACGCAGTTATATCTATCGATCAAGCCCGATGAAATTAATCAATTATCTAAATTACAAACATGTCTTAAGGACATAAAATCCTGGATGAGCTGCAATCTTCTGATGTTAAAAAAACGAAGTTCTTGTTCTTGGCCCCAAAAACCTTAGAGACTCACTGTCTAAAGATATAGTTACTCTAGATGGCATTACCTTGGCCTCTAGCACCACTGTCAGGAATCTTGGAGTTATCTTTGATCAGGATTTGTCATTTAACTCCCACATAAAGCAGACCTCTAGGACTGCCTTCTTTCATTTACATAATATTACAAAAATTAGACACATTCTATCACAGACAGATGCAGAAAAACTAATCCATGCATTTGTTACTTCAAGGCTGGATTACTGCAACTCTTTATTATCAGGTTGCCCCAATAAATCCATTAAAACGCTCCAATTAATTCAGAACGCTGCAGCACGAGTACTGACAGGAACTAGAAAAAGAGATCACATCTCTCCTGTACTAGCTTCTCTGCACTGGCTCCCTGTAAAATGTAGAATAGAATTTAAAATCCTCCTCCTCACCTATAAAGCTCTTCATGGTCAGGCCCCTTCATATCTTAAAGAGCTCATAGTACCCTATTACCCCACTAGAACACTACGTTCTCTGAATGCTGGGCTACTTGTGGTTCCTATAGTCTCTAAAAGTAGAACAGGAGCCAGAGCCTTCAGTTACCAAGCTCCTCTCCTGTGGAACCAGCTTCCAGTTGTGGTTCGAGAGGCAGACACCCTCACCACATTCAAGAGTAGGCTTAAGACATTCCTCTTTGATAAAGCTTATAGTTAGGGCTGGATCAGGTGAGTCCTGAACCATCCCTTAGTTATGCTACTATAGGCCTAGACTATCGGGGGATTTCCCATGGTGCACTGAGCTCCTCTCTTCCTCTCTCTTTCTGCACTCATTCATGTTCCATTAATGCATGTTACTAACTTCACTTCTTGATCCTGGTGGAGCCTCCTGCCATGGTCCTGCTAGATTGCCATTGCCAATACTGTTGTTACTGTGCACCTGTCTGTCTGTCTGTCTCTCTCTCTCTCTCTCTCTCTCTCTCTCTCTCCTCCTCAACTGGTCGAGACAGACGACCACCCACCTAGAGCCGAAGGATCTGTCCTAGGTTTCTGCCTTTTAACAGGCAGTTTTTCCTTGCCCTTGTCACCAAGTGCTTGCTCATGGTGGTACTGTTGGGTCTCTGTAATTAATGTTTTAAAGAGTTCGGTCTAGACCTGCTCTATTTGAAAAGTGTCCTGTTATCTCAGGATCTTCTGTTATGAATTGGCGCTATACAAATAAAATTAAATTGAATTGAATTGAATCTGCATAACAGTAAAAGTTAATGGAGTGATTCCTAATAATGTTCCCTAAAGGGAGCATATATAAAGTAAATAGTATTGGTCCAAGTACAGAACCTTGTGGAACTCCATGACTAACTGTAGTATTTATTGAAGATTCATTGTTAACATGTAGCCATAGTTTACATCAGAACATCCCTCCAGGGTACACCGTTATATTGACAACATGAAGCAAGCAATTTGACTGTCTTATCCTAACACAATGACACAAGGACTTGTCATTCTGATGGCACTGACATGTTCATTGACATGGATATTTACTTTTGAGAGATGAATTTAGGATTTTGAGCAAGAGAGTGGCTTTTGCAGGTAATCCATGGTGTTTTGCTATTTGTACGAATTGTTTTGAGAAATGCACTTACTGTTTTGCAAATGTCGAGGATGATTCGAGAAATGTACCAAAGCGACTGAGAAAAACTGTAAATATTATTGATCGTTCTTCAGTCTGTAGTTCTCTCAACCTCCTGCAAGAGTCGCTGGAGGTCTCACATACAAGACTTTTATTCTGAAGGTGTAACCCGGATGTGGCCTGCAGTGTTTCCGGGTCGGTCGGTCGCTGAGCTGGCTCACGGACTGCTGTAGACCCGGGTCGTTTATTTTTGTCACATATTGAAACGATTTGTCGGTGATGGGGGTCTGTGCGGGTCCGTGCGGGTCCCTGTTGGTCTGCCTGACCCTCCTGGTCTCCTCGGTCCCCCCTCTGACCGCCTGGGACGCGGATCTGGAGCTACTGGACCTGGTGGAGGAGATCCCGGAGACCTTCTACCAGTTCCTTTCCCTGGACCAGGTCCGTGCTAATGCTAATGTCTCCATGGTAACCGCTAGCTGGATGCTAATGCTAACAGCTGACGGTCACACACACACACACACACACACACACACGCTGTGTGGTTAGTAAGTGTGCTGAATGTGGACAATCTGTCTCTCTTTATTTTCTGTGGAACGTTACTTTTACAGTGATGTCTCTGAAATCTGTCCACTGTACAGAGTCCCTGCAGAATAATGAAATAATACTAATTCATTACTAATAACTGTCACCATCTACTGTACAGAGTCCCTGCAGAATAATGAAATAATACTAATTCATTACTAATAACTGTCACCATCTACTGTACAGAGTCCCTGCAGATTAATGAAATAATACTAATTCATTACTAATAACTGTCACCATCTACTGTACAGAGTCCCTGCAGAATAATGAAATAATACTAACTCATTACTAATAACTGTCACCATCTACTGTACAGAGTCCCTGCAGAATAATGAAATAATACTAATTCATTACTAATAACTGTCACCATCTACTGTACAGAGTCCCTGCAGAATAATGAAATAATACTAATTCATTACTAATAACTGTCACCATCTACTGTACAGAGTCCCTGCAGATGAATGAAATAATACTAATTCATTACTAATAACTGTCACCATCTACTGTACAGAGTCCCTGCAGATTAATGAAATAATACTAATTCATTACTAATAACTGTCACCATCTACTGTACAGAGTCCCTGCAGAATAATGAAATAATACTAATTCATTAGCTAACTGCTGCTAACAGAGTGGGAGCTGGATCCAGTGGTCCTGCTGGCAGTCCAAACCGGCTTAACTACAGACCGACACTGCCCACCAGAGTCCCCTGACAGGACAGCTGAGCTACACCACCTCTGGTTGGTGCTGCTCCTCAGCAGACTGCAGTCGGCCTATCAGAAGACAACTGGCATTTGTTGTGGTTGTGGACTGAGGGTCTGCATGAAGAACCAATAACTGATCAATAAGGATGTGAACCGTCTGTCTGTCTTAGGATGCGTCAGCAGCAGAGATAAAGAAGGCGTATCGACGGCTGTCTCTAATTCTGCATCCTGACAAGAACAAAGATGAAAATGCTGAAACTCAGTTCAGACAGGTCAGAAACACACACACTACACACAACGTGGGATCATGGGAGTTGTTGTCTTCACCACCATTGGCGTCATTGCAGTCAGCTTCTCCAGGTTAGGATTCCTTCAGTGTTCATGGTTCAGGAGGTTTCTACCGGGAGCCCAATGATCCACAGAGGTCTCCTCCTCTCCAACACAAACAGACCCTCTGATTAAAACCACTAACTGTTGGACAGACAAAGGATGTCCTGGAGGGGCTGTGAGCCGAGCTAATGCTAACGTTAGCTCAGCTTGTTTCTCTGATAAGTTAATTAAATTTTTCACTTCCGTTTTATTTGTATAGCACCGATTCATGAGAGAGAGAGAGAGAGAGAGAGAGAGGCTCAGTGCACCATGGGAAATCCCCCGATAGTCTAGGCCTATAGCAGCATAACTAAGGGATGGTTCAGGACTCACCTGATCCAGCCCTAACTATAAGCTTTATCAAAGAGGAATGTCTTAAGCCTACTCTTGAATGTGGTGAGGGTGTCTGCCTCCCGAACCACAACTGGAAGCTGGTTCCACAGGAGAGGAGCTTGGTAGCTGAAGGCTCTGGCTCCTGTTCTATTATTATTATTAGTTCCACTTCTTCCCCGGAGTTCTTGTGCTTTCTCGTCTCGCAGGTTCTTATCAATCCTGGTGGAGCCTCCTGCCATGGTCCTGCTAGATTGCCATTGCCAATACTGTTGTTTCTGTGCACCTGTCTGTCTCTCTCTCTCTCTCTCTCTCTCTCACCCCAACTGGTCGAGACAGACGACCACCCACCTAGAGCCGGAGGATCTGTCCTAGGTTTCTGCCTTTTAACAGGCAGTTTTTCCTTGCCCTTGTCGCCAAGGTCTTGCTCATGGTGGTACTGTTGGGTCTCTATAAATAATGTTATAAGGAGTTCGGTCTAGACCTGCTCTATTTGAAAAGTATCCTGAGATAACTTCTGTTATGAATTGGCGCTATACAAATGAAATTGAATTGAATTGAATTGAATTATCAATCACATCAACAGATCACCACCAGTGTAAATCACTCTGAGTCTGTGCTATGATTTTCAGCTGGTCGCCATCTATGAAGTCCTGAAGGACGAAGAGAGACGACGCAAGTGAGTGTACATACACCTAGCTCTCAGGCAATTAGAGGACAGAGCTGCACGTCTGCCACTAGAACTCCACAACCAGTCCCTAGATTTCTGTAACCAGTCTCTAGACCTCTGTAACCAGTCCCTAGACTTATGTAACCAGTCCCTAGACCTCTGTAACCAGTCCCTAGACTTTTGTAACCAGTCCCTTGACCTCTGTAAACAGTCCCTAGACTTACGTAACCAGTCCTTAGACCTCTGTAACCAGTCCCTAGTCTTCTGTAACAAGTCTCTAGACTTCTGTAACAAGTCCCTTGACCTCTGTAACCAGTCCTTAGACCTCTGTCACCAGTCCCCAACCATCTGTAACCAGTCCCTAGACCTACATAACCAGTCCCTAGACCTCTGTAACCAGTCCCCAATCATCTGTAACCAGTCCCTAGACCTACGTAACTAGTCCCTAGACCTCTGTAACCAGTCCCCAATCATCTGTAACCAGTCCCCAGACCCCTGTAACCAGTCCCTAATCATATGTTACCTGTCCCTAGACCTCTGTAACCAGTCCCTAGACCTCTGTAACCAGTCCTTGGACCTCTGTAACCAGTCGCTAATCACCTGTAACCAGTCCAAAGACCTCTGGTCACTCTGAGTAGCTTATAGATTGTAATTTGTACTATAAATACAATTTGGCTGCAGATATGATGACATCCTGGTGAATGGACTTCCTGATTGGCGGCAGCCGGTCTTCTACTACAGACGAGTGAGGAAGATGAGTAATGCTGAGCTGGCCTTCCTCCTCTTTGTCATCCTCACTGTGGGCCACTATGCTGTCATCTGGTCCATATACCTCGAGAAGCAACTGGTGAGACAGCCAATCAGAACACAGCAGATATGTAGACAGCCAATCAGAACACAGCACATATGTAGACAGCCAATCATGTGATCTGATCATGATGTTTCCAGGACGAGCTGCTGAGTAAGAAGAAGAAAGAGAAGAAGAAGAAGCTGAGCTCCAGACCTGCAGAGGACCTCAGGTGCATCGGCCAGGACCGGACCGAGAGGTACAACTATGACATCATCTATGACTTCCTGTTTTCTTGGTTTGTTGGTGTTTGTTATCGTTTGTTTGTTGTTTTAGAGTTCAGGACCGACCTCACTGGCAGGACATCCTCCCTCTGAAGCTGAGTATCTGGCTTTACCTGTCCATCAAAAACCTGCCGCAGACCGTCCAGGTAGTAGCAGTTGAGTCCTGGTCTCTTATCTGTCCTGGTGTCTGGTCTCTGGTCTGAGTTCTGGTCTCTGTGTGTTTCAGGAGGTGAAGCAGTACTATGAGGACTACCAGCAGATGAAGCAGCAGCAGAGAGAAGAAGCTGAAGCTGAACAGGAAGTTGCCCCAAGTAAACAATTATTACATCATTTACCTTCAGGCAGCTGTACTTGCTGTCAGAACTCTAGTTTAACTTCCTGTCTGCTGTTTGTTAAGGAGAGAAGAGACCGAAGGTCAAAAAGCCGAAGGTGGAGTTTCCTGTTTATGAGCCATCGTCAGATAACCTGAACTTCCAGAGTTATGACCAGACGACCTCCATCGAGGAGATTGAAGACCAGATGGATGACTGGCTGCAGGATCGTAGAGCCGCAAAGAAGAAGGTATGTTGTTGATCCGATCCGACGTCTTACTGAGGTACGAATTGATCAGACTGAATGTCCTCAGGCTGCAGGTCAGACACCTGGGTGATGTCACAGTTTCTGTGTTTATGTCCTCAGGCTGCAGACTGGACGGATGACGAGCTCAGCCTCCTCAGCAGGCTGATGGTTAAGTTCCCTGGAGGGTCTCCGGGTCGCTGGGAGAAGATCGCTCAAGAACTGGGACGATCAGTGACAGATGTAAGTATGTTTAAACTAGTTTCAAACCACTTCAGTTGGCATCATACTGGATATCGTGTTCATTCAGTCCCGCGATAGAATCAAGTCGAATGAATGTGAACCACCACCTCAGTCTGTCAGTTTACCAATCCAATTCAATTCAATTTTATTTGTTTTTGTTAAGTATCTTTGGGGCTTTTATTGCCTTTATGATAGAGACAGCTGAAGATAGACAGGAAAGGGAGACAGGAAAGGGAGACAGGAAAGGGGGACAGGAAAGGGGGACAGAGATAGGGGATGACACGCAGCAAAGGGCCGCAGGTTGGATTCGAACCCTGGGCCGCTGCAGACACTTTTCAAATAGAGGATGGTTCAGGACTCACCTGAGCCAGCCCTAACTATAAGCTTTATCAAAATGGAACGTCTTAAGCCTACTCTTAACTCTTACTCTAGCTCTTTAAGATACGAAGGAGCCTGACCATGAAGAGCTTTGTAGGTGATGAGGAGGATTTTAAATTCTATTCTAAATTTTACAGGGAGCCAGTGCAGGGAAGCTAGTACAGGAGAGATGTGATCTCTTTGCCTAGTTCCTGTCAGTACTCGTGCTGCAGCGTTCTGAATTAATTGGAGCGTCTTAATGGACTTATTGGGGCAGCCTGATAATAAAGAGTTGCAGTAATCCAGTCTAGAAGTAACAAATGCATGGATTAGTTTTTCTGCATCTGTCTGTGACAGGATGTGTCTAATTCTTGTAATATTACGTAAAGGAAAGAAGGCAGTCCTAGAGGTATGCTTTATATGGGAATTAAATGACATGTCCTGATCAAAGATAACTCAGAGATTCCTGACAGTGGTGCTAGAGGCCAAGGTAATGCCATCTTGAGTAACTATATCTTTAGACAGTGAGTCTCTGAGGTTTTTGGGGCCAAGTACAAGATTATTTTCAGATTTTGACATCGTGACAAATATTAAATGTTCCTGTTCCTTTTTAACATAAGAAACTGACTGAATATTTTCTTCAACAGGTGACGACTAAAGTCAAACAGATGAAAGACAACGTGAGCCACACCTCAGGTACCCTCTACATTCGTTCTACTGTACGTTCTACTGTCAGTATCTGGTTCCACTGTCAGTATCTGGTTCCACTGTCAGTATCCGTTTCCACTGTCAGTATCTGGTTTCTCTGTCAGTATCTGGTTTCTCTGTCAGTATCTGGTTTGTCTGTCAGTATCTGGTTTGTCTGTCAGTATCTGGTTTCTCTGTCAGTATCTGGTTCCACTGTCAGTATCTGGTTCCACTGTCAGTATCCGGTTCCTCTGTCAGTATCCGGTTCCACTGTCAGTATCAGTTTCCTCTGTCAGTATCTGGTTCCACTGTCAGTATCCGGTTCATCTGTCACTGTCTGGTTCCACTGTCAGTATCCGGTTCCTCTGTCAGTATCCGGTTCCACTGTCAGTATCAGTTTCCTCTGTCAGTATCTGGTTCCACTGTCAGTATCCGGTTCATCTGTCACTGTCTGGTTCCACTGTCAGTATTTGGTTCCACTGTCATTGTCAACAGCTTTTTTCTATACAACGTTGCACAACAGCAAATGAAAAAAAAAATCGTTTCCCCATGATTTTATTAGTTTTGAGATCGTTTGGCCCCAAAATTGTACTCATGATCAAATTTCGATTAATTGAGCAGCCTTACTGTCGGCATCTGGTTCCTCTGTCAGTATCCGGTTCCTCTGTCACTGTCTGGTCCCTGTGTCACTGTCTGGTCCCTGTGTCACTGTCTGGTCCCTGTGTCACTGTCTGGTTCCAGTGTCAGTGTCTGGTTCCACTGTCAGTATCTGGTTCCACTGTCAGTATCTGGTTCCTCTGTCAGTATCCATTTCCTCTGTCAGTGTCTGGTTCCACTGTCAGTATCTGGTTCCACTGTCAGTATCTGGTTCCACTGTCAGTATCTGGTTCCACTGTCAGTGTCTGGTTCCACTGTCAGTATCTGGTTCCACTGTCAGTATCTGGTTCCTCTGTCACTGTCTAGTTCCACTGTCATTGTCTGGTTCCACTGTCAGTATCCGGTTCCACTGTCAGTATCCGGTTCCACTGTCACTGTCCGGTTCCACTGTCACTGTCCGGTTCCACTGTCAGTGTCTGGTTCCACTGTCACTGTCTGTTTCCACTGTCAGTATCCGTGTCCACTGTCAGTATCCGTGTCCACTGTCAGTATCCGTGTCCACTGTCAGTATCCGTGTCCACTGTCAGTGTCTGGTTCCACTGTCAGTATCCGATTCCACTGTCAGTATCCGATTCCACTGTCAGTATCTGATTCCACTGTCAGTATCCGGTTCTTCTGTCAGTATCCGATCCGATTCCACTGTCAGTATCTGATTCCACTGTCAGTATCTGATTCCACTGTCAGTATCCGGTTCTTCTGTCAGTGTCTGGTTCCATTGTCATTTTCTGGTTCCACTGTCAGTGTCTGGTTCCACTGTCAGTGTCTGGTTCCACTGTCAGTGTCTGGTTCCACTTTCATTGTCTGGTTCCACTGTCAGTATCCGGTTCCTCTGTCATTGTGTGGTTCCTCTGTCATTGTGTGGTTCCTCTGTCATTGTCTGGTTCCACTGTCAGTATCTGGTTCCACTGTCAGTATCTGGTTCCACTGTCAGTGTCTGGTTTAACTGTAATTGTCTGGTTCCACTGTCCGTATTCGGTTCCGCTGTCAGTGTCTGGTTCCACTGTCAGTATTCGGTTCCTCTGTCAGTGTCTGGTTCCATTGCCATTGTCTGGTTCCTCTGTCAGTGTCTGGTTCCATTGCCATTGTCTGGTTCCACTGTCAGTATCCGGTTCCTCTGTCACTGTCTGGTTCCATTGTCATTGTTTGGTCCCACTGTTAGCGTCTGGTTCCACTGTCAGTATCTGGTTACACTGTTAGTGTCTGGTTCCACTGTCGGTATCTGGTTCCACACTCAGTATCCGGTTCCATTGACAGGTTACGTTCACTTTGGTGTTGTCTGTGTTTCAGGTCTGGTAAAGCTGTCGGAGCTGAAAGGACCTCTTCTTCCTGTGAGGTCACTTCCTGTTGCTGACAGTGTGATGAGTCAGAGAGGGGGTGGAACCTGTGAAGAGGAGCAGGAAGAGGAGGAGGAAGAGGCAGCTGCAGTGGTCAGGAGGAGGAGCAGGAAGTTGGTGGTAGCAGAAGGGGGGGAGGTGAAGATCAGAAGTCGTCGGCAGAAAGATTTTGACCCGACAGCGGTGGAGGAAGAGGAGGCGGAGCCTCAGGAGAGTAGGGAGAAGGCGGACCCTGCCGTCTGGACTCAGAACCAGCAGAAACTGCTGGAACTCGCTCTGCAACAGTTCCCCCGAGGAACCCCAGAACGTTGGGACCGCATCGCCAAAGTGGTCCCTGGGAAGACAAAGGTGAGGATAGTCCACCTGTCTGTCCACCTGGCAGGTAGACGACCAGGTGAAATGATTGTTAGATTATTAATAAACTGATTATCAAATGATTGATCTGTTTTTCAGGAGGAGTGTATGATTCGTTATAAGATGTTGGCAGAGCTCGTCCAAAAGAGGAAACAGGCCAAAAACTGATCAACGGTCGTGACCCCTGACTCCGCCTCGTC